AAGGATGTTGTGACATGAACTCACGTGTAGATTACCCTGGTTTTGTGCATCTTTACACAGCTCAGGCTGAAGCTGAGTTTTGGGATAACCAAAAAAAACCCAAAAAACCCCTCCCAGCTTTAATTCTGGGGTCACATTTCCCAGATGCTGGCAGAAAGAAGAGTTGATCGTGGTGCAGTTGCAGTCCTGCAGAGATTTTAAAAAGGGGTGATTTCAGAGGGTCCTGGGACTGTCTGCACAGGCTGGAGCTCACTGTCCACGGGGCTGTGCTGGGACAGAGGAGTGGAAAGCTCTGGGGCTGTGTTGGCAGAAGGTGGGTAAGCTTGGCGTTGATGCCACTGGGGCTGCTCAGCTTCCCTGAGAGGGAAGGGTGTTTGCAGAGCAGGAAGGTGCTACACCTGCTCTCTGTTTGCCAGAGTGGTGTTTTCAGCACTAACTCAGTGCCTGGCTTGTCTCAGGGTTGGGGAACTCCTGGGAAGGCTGTTATCTGATGAGCCACTTAACCACAGCCTGCTGGCCTGTGAAAACAGACCAAGCCCTGTGTCCTCACTGGCTGCTCCAAAGTGAGTGGAAAAGGCTCTTCAGGAGGGCTTAGCACAGATCACAGGCTGGTTGGGGTTGGAGGGACCTTAAAGCTCATCCAGTCCCACCCCCTGCCATGGGCAGGGACACCTTCCACCAGCCCAGGTTGCTCCAAGCCCCGTCCAACCTGGCCTTGGACACTTGCAGGGATGGGGCAACCACAGCTTCTCTGGGCACCCTCCAGGCTGTGCCATCACACTGCTCCCAAGAACAAGCCCCGCAGGAATGAGTCATGCAGGGATTGCTGTGCCCTGCCCTGCACATCATCTGCTGCAGCACTCCTGCCATCCTGTCACCTTCTGGTCATCCCACATTTCAGTGGAGACCCTGCTGTGGCTGCCACTGTTTGTTCTTTGGGCACCACCAGCGTGCCAAGCAGTCCAAAAACCACAGGAAGAGCCGTGGTCCCTCCCACCCCCCCGGCACGGGAGCAAACTGAACTTTCTCATCAGACCTTGCTCGTGGGGCACAAAGTAACCAGGCAGCAGTTGCCCTGTTTTGTGCACAGGATATTCCCAGGGCTGGTGGAAGGTTTGCTCTGTGATTTAAAGCCATTGTAGTCTGGAGCCCATTTCCGAGGTACTTCCCCTCTGGGATCTCTGCTGGGATTGGCCCCAGACCAACACTCGGAATGTTCGAGGCCAGGGCCTGGCAGGGCTGGGCTGGGAGCCCTGTCCCCAAAACACCCTGCCCTAAACCTGAGGGGCACAGGAGCCCGGGACAAGGAGCAGAAGTGCATCCCCTCATCTCTGAGGGGAACATCTACCCCAGGACAGAGGTTGCCCAGAGAAGCTGTGGCTGCCCCTGGATCCCTGGAAGTGTCCAAGGCCAGGCTGGATGAGGGTTCTATGGAAGGTGTCCTAGCCCATGGCAGGGGTTGGAACTGGATGAGCTTTAAGGTCCCTTCCAACCCCAACCAGTGTGTGATTCCATGACCATGGCCACCCCAGGAAAGCGTCTGCTGGCACAGCCGGGGAGACGGCGGCGAGAGAACAGCCCTGGGCTCGGCTGGGCACCAGCTCAGGGCACTGGAGGTGTCAGGCTGAGTCTGTGTCGTTGCCACTGTGACCTTTTAGCTTTGCAGTGTCATGCAGAGCCCCAGGAGAGCCATGTTTGCAGCGTGGGGTCTCGGTGTGCAGAGTTTGGGGACCCTCCTTTGAGGTGGTGCTGTTCTCTGGGGGCTCCTCAGCTGCTCTCTGGACTGCTGAGCCAACAGGCCCTCCTTGGGTGGTGCCTGCTGGGGTAACCAGGAGCTGGGGGAGCATCTGCAGGCTGTGAGCTGTTTCCAGGGAGCAAAAGGAACCTCTTCCTGCAGCTGATCCCTGCCTGTTTGGGGCTGGTGTTGGCCAGTGTGGGCCTTTCCCTGCAGCCCACGCTCTGTTTCCCCCTGCTCTCCCACAGCAGAGCGCTGTGGGTGCCCCAGAGCAGAGTGTGGGCTCACACAGCACCTGCAATAACATGTTTTTCCCAGCCCTGGGGGAAGGCAGGCGGGCACAGAGCCACTGGCAGCCACTTCAGTCGCTGCTGTATCTGGTGGCAAACGCCCCCCTTCACGCCATCTGCATCCTCCTTTCCCAGCACCGTGAGATTAAACCCTGTTTTCTCTTTGTAAATATTGGCAGGGCCGGGGCAGCCTCCCTGAATGAAAACAATGGTGGGGAGGCCAGTTCCCAGCGTGTGCAGGGCCTGGCACAGCCCCTGCTCACCCCCCTCCCTGCCCCAGCCCCCAGCTTCATCCCATATCCCAGGCCTTCATCTGGCTGCATCCCAAAGGACTTTGCAAGCAGGAATCTGGGCTCTGGAGGCAGCTGGGGGTGCTCAGCCCCCGGGGGCTGGGTTGCCACTGGCCCCAGCACATTGTTTGGGTGCAGCAGGTTGGTGGATGTACTGCAGCACCACAGCTGTAGGGGTGGCACAAGGAGTACAGGTTGAAAGGGGGCAAATTTAGGTCAGATATTAGGGGACATTTTTTACTGTGAGGGTGGTGAGGCCCTGGCACAGGTTGCCCAGGGAGTCTGTGGATGCCCCAACCCTGGCAGGGTTGGACAAGGCCTTGAACAAGCTGGTCTAGTGGGAGGTGTCCCTGGCAGGGAGGGTTGGGACTAGATGATCTTTAAGGTCCCTTTCAACTCCTTAACATTGTAGGATTCTGTGGAAGAGGGAGAAGCAGAGCTCTTCCCTCTGGAAATGTGTGTCGGAGAGTTCAATGTCACTGTGAGGGAATAAAGGGTTGGGATCTCTCTACACAGAAATGATGGTAAAATACATCCAGCTTGGAGAAATGCAATTTTGGCTGTTCCTGTGCCCCCTCAGCCTTGCACACCATTCCCAGGACACACATTGGGGTAGTTGCCTTTCTCTGACTTTTGGACCAGGGGGCAATCTCCTCTCCTGGCTGGAGTTTTCCCAGCTGGCTGGGGCAGGGAGTCTGCAAATGGCTGAGGTGGAGGGAAGGAGGGAGGGAGGGAAAGGGACACTTTGCTCTCAACAGCCAGCAGGAGCTGAGCATGGCTGGATGTAAATTCAATCAAAGAGATGGACTGTAATTGAATCAGAGAGGGGCTGCAGGGCAGGGGTAGGTGAGCTGCCGTCTGTCACCAGCAAGGGGATATGAGATGTCCTTGGAATTGCTTTCAGCCCCGCTCCAGGGGAATCACAGGAGCTCTGGAGGGCTGGGAATGTGCAGTGGTTGCAGCATCAGTGTGGGCACTGCTCTCCTTGCAGCTGCACTGATGGATTTGGGGTTCTGCTCAGCTCTTGCCTCCTTTCACTTCTGGCCCCAAGTGCCATGAAATGCCAGCCTGGATTTCCATCCCAGCATATGGGTACCCATCCTCTGAAAGTGGGAGCAACTGGGAACCTTCCTAGGGATGAGTGGGTGGCACAGTGGTGCAGCCTGGGGAACTGCTGGCATGGGACAGACTGGGACATCTGGGATGGCAAAGAGCCCCGTGACACTGCAGGGATGCTCAGAGCATCACTGCCAACCAGGATCTGGGGGGTGAGGGGGAGCCCCAGCACCTGTGTCCCTGAATCCCAAACCTCTCTTCATTCTGAATGTGCTCAGGAATTTTCATGCATTTCCAGTGTTTAAGCCTGTTTCTGCTGTAGGAATTGATGTGGTGAGGTCAGACATAAGGAAGCCCAAGCCTTGTCTCTCATGGAAGTCTCCTTGGAGGGGCAAAGAACCAAACCAGAGATCCCTTTCCCTGGAGGTGGCGTGGGAGCTTGGTTTATTTACCACTTCAGAAGGGATTTTGGATTAAACGTGAATGAATTCACATCCAATGCAAACAGTGCTTTAAATGGTGTGACTAAAGAGCATTTCCCCTTTTGGCTGTGTTATGTCTCTGGAGTCACAAAGCTGCAGGTTCTCTCTGACCTTTCTGGGAAAAAACAGGCTATTGGGGACCTGCCCTTCTGGAAGGAAATTCTAGGGGGAAAGGAAAGGCCTTTTTCATGCCCCTTAGTGAAAGACACTTTTTTCTTTCTTTACAGTCTGTCCTAAAGTCCTGCTTTTGTATTTTTTTTTTTTCTTTTCCCATCTGGCCACAGAAGGAGATGATCCAGCCTTGGGCATTTCTGGACCCTTTCTAAAGCAAAACCTGCAAAATCCCAGCAGGCAGCAGATGTTACTAATGCTTAATTTTTAGCGTGAGAGATAAGCAGTTTGAGGGTTGGGAGATAGCTGCTGAGAGAACTTGGTCAGAAAGTTCCTTAAATGAGTGAGATTTGGCCCAAAGAAAACCTGCCCAAGAGGAACAAGTCTGTATCAAAAAAGGACACGTGCAGGGAAGGGGCTGTGGCACAAGAGAAAGTGGGCTCAGCTGGGATGACTTCCCATCGTTTCTCTCCATTCCTTCCTTGCTCACAGAGAGTGTGTGACCAGAGCCTCATCCCCAAATCCACCCCAGAGTGTGCAGTAAGCGAGGATCAGGATGGGGAGGCTGCTCTGGAGCTTCCCTGAGCTCGGTCTTTCCTCCCTGCCCCACCCAGCCCGAAGGCTCCTGTTCTCATCAGTTCATGCTCCCGTGCCTCGTTTATGTTTGCATACGGCAAAGAGCAATTTCCACCCTCTAAATTAACTTAATAGACACGTTTCCACTCAGGTGGCCCAGGGTGCAGAGCTGCTGGTGCTCTGCCCGTGCTGTACCACTGCACTCCTGCTCTGAAGGCAGGCTCAGCTCCCCTGCACCACTCAGCCCCTTCTCCCTCTCTCTGGAGGAGATGCCACCGGGAGCTGATTTCCCTCTGCTTTGCTCTCTCTGCCCGGAGCTCAGGCCACGGTGGGAGCTCTCCTGTTAGACTGACTCTCTTCTGCTGTGGCGTGTGGGGAGCGAGGAGTTTGCAAACACAGCCGGGGCCTGCGACACACACGGCTAATGACCTTCTCCCTGCCTGTGTTTCCTTTACGTCAGAAGTCGGAGTGCTTATTAAGTTTGGAGGCTTACTCCCAGGAGCAGAAGAAGAGGATCTGCTGGTGTCTGGCTGAGAACATCACCAAGCAGCAACATCCGGCATCGGCTCCTACGGAGAACAAGGTAAGGGAGCCAGGCGGGAGTGGAGAACCCTGCGCGGAGCGTCGGGGGCTCGGCCTGCGAGGGGGCTTTGCTCTGCTGCTGCTCCAGCCAGGTGGGCACTGCTGGAGCCTGTTTGTCTGCCAGGTGAGGAGCGAGTTTGTGATCAGGCACTGCTGTGTCTGCAGCTTCCTGCCCTGCTCGGGGGAGCAGTCACTGCGTTTGCATCCTCTGGCTGGGGCTGACACCTCCCTTGCATCTGTGTTTGGACAGCTGAGCCCGTGCAGCCCAGTGTCCAGCCTTCCCCTACAGCTCAGCTCTGGGCAGCACTGGGAGCAGAGGGAGAGGCTCGAACTGTGATCTTTGGGCCCTGATTAAAGGCCGAGGTCATGGGAGTGGCAGTGCAGAGATTTGCCCCCTCTGTGCCCTCGGACGGGCTCAGGCGTTTGATCTGGACCCCACAGGTGGCCCCAAAGCACAGAGGTCGTTTGGTGGGTGCTGTTTTTCATACCTAGCGAGGCAGCCCCAGCACTTTTCCCACACTGAAGAGCTCCAGCCTGGCCCGAGAGCGCTGGCTCAGCAGCTCTGACAGAGAAATGTGTGTTGGAGGGGTTTGAAGCACTGTCAGGCACGCCTGCCCTGCGTGGGTGTCCTCAACACCCCTGTCTGCCTGGCTTTGGGGCTGAGGCTGCTCTCTGGGACAGTGGCAACCTCTGCTGATTACTGGGGGTCGGGTTTGGATGGTTGGTGGGTGACCCGTTGCTCTGGCAGAAGAGAAACACCCTGTGCTGAGTGTTTGAAGAGCTTTGGGTGAGGCAGATGGGGGTAAAGCCCCCGGATCCCTCTCTTGGCTGGTGTGTGGTGGAGGAGCAGCCCCTGCCCCACGTCCCGGTGTGGGTGCAGTGTGGGCTGGGTGGCTCCGAGGAGATGACTCGGGGGGTGACTCGGGGGGTGACTCGCTCTCGGTACCCACGGGCACAGCAGGAGCCGGGGGCAGGGTGACGTGGCTTCTGCTCTGCAGCCTCCAAACTGGGTCAGCACAAACATCTCCGCAGGAGACAGAGCCTCTGGATTCCTTTTCCTGCACGTTTCAGGAGGACTAAAATAGCAACAGCTCCCCGAGCCTGAGAACAGCAGCGTTACCAACCAAAGCTCCCGCACCGCGGACGGCCCCGGGCGGCTGATTCACTGCCTGCCACGGCTCCTCTTCTGCTGTGGTGCATCCTGCTGGCACAGCACTGTGCCCAGGCATGGGGGCCCTGCTAGCTTGGCATGAGGGGGACCGTGTGATGGGGCTGCTCTGGGGGCCTTGGCCTGGCTCTGTGCTCGGCTGTGTGTGATCCAGCCACGGGCTGGGGATGATGTGCAGGGACGTGTTCCAACCTGAGCATCTTCATCTTAAAGAGACCCTAAAAGGGGCATCCTGGCATCATGACAGGTGTTCTGGGACCGTCTGGGCTTTGGGATGATGGTGCTGTTTGCCCTCCCCATCCCAGACTCTGTTGGTGGCAGGGTGTGGGGCTGTGGCTCACAGCAAAGCCCTGGAGTGTCTGCTCCCTGAGTCGTGGGAGCCTGGCTGCTGGGCAAGTGAAAAAATACTCTAGAAGACATCACAAATCTTTTCCAGGCATTTCTGTGCCTCAGTAGCCAAGAGGGTGTTCCTTGGGTGCTGTGGAGAGCCAGTGTGGGCCCTTCAGTGTTGTGACAAAGGGGTTTTATCTTACTTGCCAAAGGTGATGGAAATCCCACTGGGGGGATCCATGGCCAGGAGGGAGAAAAGGAGCGTGAGAGCAACCACCAGGCACTTCATTGAGTTCATAGCACCAAATCCCATCCCAGCAAGGTGTAAGGTGCCCAGGATGCAATTTTAAAGCCAACCTGATGGGAAGTGCAGGAAGGAGCAGCATGGGGAAGGCAGCGCAGCCCTGCATGGGGCTGCAACTCCTGAGGGGACAGTAAAGGTTGTCAGAGCAGGGTGGGCACACAGGGCAGGAGCCTGACATGGGTGAGCTGCAGCTGGGGCTGTGACCAGACTGCACCACAGCTGGTCTGTCGGGGCAGACTGCTCAGGGGGTGCCAGTGCAACGAGAGGCAAGAACTGGGATAATCTGTTGCTTTTTGCAAGGGAGACCCGATCCATTAGTTTCCTTACAAGTCGTTTGATACTGAGGCTATTTGGGGAAAAACTCAGTGTCTGTGCTCTGTGAACAGAGAAATTAAGCTGGAAACATCAGCCTTGATAGGAATCTGATTTGCAAAGCCTTCAAAACTGCTCCAGCTCAGCAAGGGGCAGCTCATCTCGCTGCAGCCGAGAGGATGAGGGCTCTGCTGTGCCACGTGAGCGAAGGGCTGGCACAGCCCCGTGCCAGGCAGAGATGTGCCATGTGCCAGCTGTGCACTGGAGCCAGAGAAAGGGACACTGTCTGAGCAGACAGCAGCTCCTCAGGAGCCCCCGTGGCTGCCACACCAGTGTGTGAGCTGGGAACAGCTCTCGCTTCAACCTGCTCAGAAATCACATCAATTTTGGGCTTTGGGATGGTACCTCTTGCTTTTCGATTCCCCCCTGAGCCCTGCCTGGGTAGGGCAGCACAGGAAGGTCCCCGTGGCTCAGGGACATGGTTCTGCAGAGCTGTCAGTGCCTCTGGCAGCATCTCCTGGGAGGATGGTGTCAAGCCTGGAGGATGATCCCTGCACGGGGTCTATGCTGGCACTGCTGCTTTCAGAGCAGCTGGTTTTGGAGCAGAGCTGCCAGTTTCTGGGAGGCACAAGCACGTGGTGCATGTAGCATCCACCTCTGGAGATGGAGGAGGAGAAAGCCATGAGGGATACAGCTGTGATGGTCCAGATGTGCTCCCAACGAGCTTTTCCTGCCAGAGTCAGTGCAGAGGAGCTGTGGGGGTAGCTGTGGCTGTCAGTGTGGCCTGGCTCTCTATCCCTGGTGTCCAGGGCATGTGGTGGAAGTGGGGTTCCAGTGGCTTCTCCAATACCACTGTAAGACTTGAGTGAATTTCCCTGAGCTGCAACTCCATCCTGTCAGCGACAGCAGGTCCCAGGAGTTGTTCTGTGGATATTTTATCCACTGGCAGAGCCTTCCCCCCTCTCCCCCTCAGGTCCATGTCTGCCCCAGGACGCTGCTCCCTGTGCCTGTGCTGAGCAAGCACCTGGAAAACACATCCCCAGGGTGACACAGCTCGGCAAGCAACGTTCCCAAACGGGGATGTGTGGAGCCTGGAGCTGGGCTGGGGCTGTGAGGAACCACAGCCACGGCAATGTGATTATGGCAGAGCAGCTTTGTGCATTAACCGAGTTAGGGAGGCGGCCTCCGCGGGCCGGGTAATGACTGTCTGGTTCACCCTCCACCGCTGCACCGGGGCTGGTGCTAGCCCAGATTGCATTAACGTGACTGAAGAGAGGGCAAACTGCAGGGCAGGGGCTGGAGCTGCTCCAGCTGCTTTGGCTACCAGGGAAAAAAGGTTTAGCGGCACAACCCCCTGCATGCAACGGACCTGCTGCCACCATCTGATTCTCACTGCTTGTTTCTTTGTGTCTTCCACACTCAGAACGGCTGATTACTCTTCCTTCTGACTCCGTGACCTGAGATTACCTCGGAGATGATGGCTGGCTGTGTCTGAGAGATGCAGATTATCCTTAAGCTAAATAATTACGGACACTCGGTGGTGTGGACTTTGGGAGTCCAGGACGGGTGCTCCCCCTTGTTTCCCGAGGGAGGTGGTGGATGCTCAGCACTTTCCAGAGCCCGGCTGCCGTCCCTCTCCCGTGGCTGCTGACGGTGTGAGCAGGCGTGGACCGACCCTGCGCCCCGGCCCTTCCTGGCAGCGCTGGCTCCGGTGCTGGGAATGAGCCGCCGGTGGGATGCGCGGCCGGGGGGGACCGGCCGGCCCCTTCCTAGCCGTTCCTCTGCTCAGGAAGGGCAGGGCTGTTTCTCTCACTATTTACAACGTGCTTGACAAGTGCGAGTAAATGAGCTGTCAGCAAAAGCAAACAGTGTGTAATCGAGGGGTGATTGAAAGCAGGGCCGGCGGGAGGGGAGGGAGGGGCCCCAGGCACCTGCACCGTGGGGACTGTCCAGTGGGGGTGACCCCTCTCCTGTCCCATGTCCTGCCTCCTCTTCCTCACCCTGAGCACCCCAGTGTGCCCCATCCCGCTCTGCACCCGTGTCCTCTTCGGTCCCTGTTCCCTGGCACCTCCCTGCCCCAGTAACCCCCATTTTCCACACACTGGGGCATCTCCCACACCTTCCTTTGCATGGTGGCCGTGCACACACTTGAGCTGGCACAGCAGGGGCTGCTGGCATCGGGGTGGCCGTGACAAGCACTTGTGACAAGGTGCTGGTGACAAGGCTGGGGACGGGTGGGGTTGAATGTCCTTCCCTCTGAGTGCTCCACTCGGTTCAGCGTAGTCAGTGTGTGATTGACTGGCTGTTTGACGGGGAGGGAGGGGAGGGTTTTGTACCTTCCTAGTTTATTTTTAGCCCGAAGTCTTTCCATTTTGGGCTGGGAACCTGTTGCCCTGTCTGTGCCAGCTCTGCTCCAGGGGCTCTTGTTCACCTGCTGCAGATGGCCATGGGTGCAGGAAACCTGGATCTTCACCAGAGCCTGCTTTCCTTTCCATGGTGCCAACACCAGAGGCTGGGCAGGGCTGGGCACGTCACAGCAGCACCTGGTGGGCCAACCAGCCCTCTGTCCTGTCCCAGCACCTCGTTTGTGCTGTCAGGGTGCTCAAATGGGGGAGAAAACCTTGAGGTTGATTCTGCCCCAGTAAGAGTTAAAGCATGAGCTGGCAAGACTTAAAACCAGGTCACAACAATAAACCAAAACACAGCCCAGCTCTTCCTCTGGGCTGGAAAAACTCAGCACCAAGGACAGCCAAAGGCTGCTCCAGTAATGCCATGAATCTGGGAGGCTGTGGGACCAGAGATGCTCTTCCTTTGTGAGTCAGACCCCAGCTCAGCTCTGTCCCCTGAAATATCTGGAGGAAACTGTCCCTGCCAGAGATACCTGCAC